GGGGGGGGGGGGGGAAGAAGAGTTAGCTTACAGTGCATGCACCCAGGTCATGTTTGCCATAGGAAAAGGCAGGTGGAGTTTGTTGGACCCAAGGTCAGGGACCTTACTGGGGGAGGCAGGGAAAAAAATGGGAAAGAATTTACCTGAACATACTGAGTTACTGGACTCATCATGGCTGGAGGCTGCATATATGTTTCAGTATTCTGACTGCTCCATACATTGTGGAACTGTGGCACAGGTGGATTAAAAACCAGAGGTCTGGGTTGCATATGATAAGCACCTTGTATAAGACAAAGGAAAGTTGAGAATTGGAAAGAAAAAAAAGCTACTTACCAATACTTTAGACAAAACTTCAAAAAACCCACCACCTTATAGAAGATGAGCTTTATTTCCCTTTAATTAAAAAAAAGTTAACAGGCTGCCTAATCAGCTGTCCTGCAATGTCTGCAGATTGCATGCTATAGCACTGTGTTAGTGCAAAATAGTCCCATATGCTCTCTCAACTCTGGTAATGAAGACATTAATATTAAAGATTAAAAAAGTAGATATACTAAGTTTCCTTTTAACAACCAGTATCAAAGGGCAAGGACATTTATTCATGGTCCTATATTTAAGCTGAGCATCCTTATAAAATGCTGAAGTTAAAATTCAGTCTAACGATACTTACATAAATTCTGTTGCTTTCTAATTGCTGGTCCCAGTTTCAGTTTTTTGCCATGGAAGTTTATTTGCGACTAAAAAAAAGTAATTATAGGACACTTTAAAAACAAAACAAAAACTTCACCATTTTCTATTGCACCTAACAATTTTAAAAGTATATTTTTTCTAGAGTTAGGTCAATACATAACAGAGTTTAGTAATACATGATTTACTTATGAAGCTCTCAATGACTCCTCACATGGCTCAAAGGGATTTAAGTGCTAATGTTTGCTTGGTTATTACTTTACTTTGTTTAACAAGTCATATACTTTACAATAACCAGGTTTTTTTGGCAATACATTCTACAGTTCCATTACTCTTACACTGCATGTCCAAGCTCAGCCTTTGTACCCAGCAGTACCTGCCCAGCATGCATGTTCCCCAAGATAAGCTCTCAAGCCTGAGCAAAAAACAGAGTGTACACCAGCAAAGAATGCCAGATGTATTAAATTAATTGAGAATGGAAGATAGGTTGTTTTCTACATGCAGATTTTGCAATTTAGAAACTTCCAATTGCTGTGGAAGCAAGCAATTTCACATTCTCCTTCAAGTAGTTGTGCACATGCACATTCAGCTATGGGAAGCTAAAAAACTGACCAGTTCAAATGCAGGCAGGATTTCAGTTGCAAGAAGATAGTGACAAGGCAATACATGAATCTAGAGGCTTCATGTATTTGTACAGACATGCAGATATGGATGCAGGTAGCCATCTGCAGATGTCTGTGCTGCTCAGAGCTTACTGACAAATTTGACCCCTGCTGGAGTGCAAGCTACAGGATGTAGGTGGGCCCGTGTTCCTTATGGGCTTCAATACAACCACAGAGTTGCTTGGAGAGTCTTTAAAGAAAACTGCTTTGCTCTTTTTTCTCTGCTAGTCACAATTAAAGATAATCTGAATAGCCTTATCCCTTGAAAGGCAAAGGTTGACAGCACGTCACATCCAGTGTGGAAGGATGGTTGGGATTCAGGAAAGTAAATATGGATTCAGGCAAGACTCTTAAATACCTTCAACAATAATCTGGGATGAGTCCTTAGTGACATGTTGTCCAGATGGAAAACCATAAATATTAGGACTGAGCCCACCCTCGGTGCCTAAGCAACCTGGCCATCCTTTCTAAGGTAATGGATGCTAGAAATTCCATACGCCACAGTTAAATGAAGCAGAAAGCACAAAGTCTCCATTCAAACCAGAGCTAAGAGAATTAAATTAAAAATCCCACAATTGACTCCTCTTCTCTAGGTGGAAGTAGATCTGTTAAGTCCTTCAAGAATTTGAAGCACAAATGGAACAGATAAGCATTGGTCAGACCACTGCAGCAATACAATCCTGTACCATACAGGAACACAATTAGAGGACTTTGATGGTACTTAACTACACCATGGAGCTGAAACAGCAACCTTTCTTTAATCTTATGGGGGAAGTGGGGGAAGAAGGGACTTCTTTACTAACGTACAGGGACAGTTCTCTGCATCCCTGGAGCATTTTGGGTGCTGGTGAAGAGACTGTAGGTTTGGGTATCTGATCATCCCTTTATCTGACAGATCAAGAAGCTGAGATAAGAGGAACAAAGCATCAAAAATCTGCACTAAATCTATCAAGGTCAGATTGCCAAGTCTTCTCCAGTACCAAGTAGCATTCTGGAGTAGTACATGCTTCACTAAAGAATCAGAAAGGCATTGGACAGAAGTCCTGGGTATCTGGCTTGTCAAAACACTTGTCAGGTTGTATCAAACACCTCTTGAACTGGGGCTTTTTATAAACAGAAGATGCCCTGGGGAGGGTATAGTTTTGCAATCATTTGTAGTTTAACTGATAAAGTGTGTGGTGCAGCATTCAACCTACCTGGTAGACTTACTGCCTGACACCAGTTCTACAGTCTGATTATTTTCTGATCTGAAGACAGGGAGAGCTGGCCTCACCCTGTTAATGTAAAGTAACTACCTTCCTGTCTGTCACTATCTGCACTGACAAGCCTAGAATACAGTGGTGGAAAGATTCACAAGCCTTACAGACCACCCTGAATTCTTAGATGCTCACATACAGTGACACTGCACTGGAAGTGCAGGTTCCATACCAGAAGGCCATTCATAAGTTCTCCTCATCTTAGTATGAAGGTATCCATCATATAATCCTGGATGGTAAATAGTGTTAGGAACTACCTGACAGTATTCATTTACACACTTCCCCATATACATACAATTGACCAACTATAAGATGTAGATATAAAAAGATTAACAGATTTATTAAAAACAGTTGTTAAATCCTTGCGATCAGCTAGTCAAGGGGGTAGCTTTTATACCAATTTGATACAGGGGTGTATCTGCCTTAGACATTAAGGCATGCTACGACAGGCAGTGGACAGAGTGACCACAATCTGATACTGTGAAGCAAAACCGTTAGAAGGTAATAATCTTATTTTTAGTTGAATTAAAAGGCACACCACTTTAAAAGCACAAGGGTTTTAAAATAGACAAACCAGCTTTTAAGTAACCTCTCAATCTTGCCCCTTTTTATTGCACCCCAATCAGTTCGGCACCAATAAAGGAGAAATTACTTTATTGGCTATTGGCTTTTTTTGGTTGTTGTAGCTGATAATTACAGTTGCGTGCCCAGAGTACTCTGGCAGCCATAGTCTGGTCCTTGCACCCTGCCTCCATCCCAAGCCCACAGCAGGCTATAGATACCAGTGAGCAGCAGGAGGGGGTGTTGTGGAGTGGTTACAGGGCACCGTGCTCAGCAACAAAGGGACTGTTACCAGGTGTAAGGCACCGTGCAAGGGCCATTCCACTCCGCTGGGCACATTTGCAAAAGTGGCTTCAGCTTCTCTGCAGCAGCCATGGGAGCTCAACTGCGTGGGGCATGCTGGTGCTGAAGCAGTGTGCTCTGCGGCTCCAAATGTGCCCGGCACCACTGTCTGCACAGGGGTCTACCCTGCCTGCCCAGGACAACAGCATGGGCTGTGCAGAGCGGGGCTGCTAGTAGGAGCTAAAGGAAAGGGGGTGACATGCATGGGAGCAAGGTGGTCACCACCTTCCTCATTGAGGGCTAGAGCACATGAGGGCTATGTGGGGGTAACAGATGCAAAACAAACAAAAAAAAAGTTAGTCAAAAGTTTAAAATGCTTTGCATTATTACTAAAAATTGGTTATTGGATCAACAGTGGCTAATATGGTCGGTTAATATCAGCTATCAGTATTGGCCATGTAAATCTTTATCGGTGCACCCCTACTTTCTATTAATTTTCTCCAGACTAGTTTCTTATCCAAGTTTAACACAGTGCTGTTCCTCATTATTACTTCCACCAGCTCATGGCCTCTGTACTATTCCCAAGACAAACAAATTGCAATTAAGTATAGAAGAGACAGCTTACTTCTACTATTTTTTGAACATCCACATTGTCCAGAAAGGATACAAATCCATACCTACAAAAGAAAATAAAGTTTGTTGAGTCTACTATGTAACTTCTTATTGGGGCAGGCAATTATTCAGGCCCCAGAGGCCTCATAGGGAGTTTTGGGGAACTGTTGCAGGCTGGGTCACCCCCTGCCCCACATCTCAACCATCCCATAAATGGAGGTTTGGAGCGGCACTTCTCCTGGCACCTCCACTCCCCAGCCAGTGCTCTCAGGAAGGGCCCGTCGCATAAGTGGGGAATGCTGGCTGTCAGGGGGTGCACTGGCACTTTCAGGGGGTGCATGTGCACCCCCTACGTGTCACCACTAGTGGAACTGGTTTGGGCACAGACAGTAGCTTCAGCTTCCAGCCCAAGGAGAGGCTCAGGCAGATGCCCCAATCCCCAGAGAGAAGTGGCATCTGCAACTGGTGTTGGCACCCACCCAGAGCTGGGGTAGCCTGGGTCTGGAGCAGCATGGAGGTGCTGTGGGGTGGTGCCAGCAGGGTAGAGCTGCAGGGCAGCCCTGGCCTGGGCTCCAAGCAGCTGCAGCCAGGAGAGTCCCCAGAAGCAGTGAACATGCCCACTGCCAGATCCTGCTTTTGACCAGCACCAGCCACTGCTACTCATTATGAGCAGAGACACCTGTCTGTCCATTTCCCTCTGCCCTCCCCGCAGCCACCCTGCACCTCCAGCATAGCTCCACAGTTTACACCAGCTCCCTGCCCACGAACTGGAAGCAGCACCAGGCGCATGCCAGCTTCAGCTGCAGACAGAAGAGGCCACTTCTTCCTGGAGACCAGGGTGTCCTCCCAGGTCCACAAGTGGTGCTGCTACATCAGCTGCAGTCCCAGGTAGTCATCCCAATCCCCAGCAGAAACTTGCAGGCAGCATCCACAGCTGGTGCCAGCATATACCCACTGCTGCTTCTGGCACACAGGGCAGGACCTGGTATAAGGTGTGGATGGGACAGAGACGTGTCTGTCTGCTTGGCACGATGGTGAAGCCGGAACTGTCTGCTCCCTATTGGCCAGATCCTATGATTTTGCAACTGCCAACCAGCAGGCCAGATACAATCAGCTGGTGGTCAAGTCTAGCCCACAGGCCATGTTTTGCTCACCTCTGCTCTTACCTTATTTTTATCCTGCTGAGAGCAGAGAGCCAAACACACCAAACAAAAACAAAAACCAAAAGCCATATCAACTTGTATTCTACTCACCCCTTGGAAGCACCAGTTCTATCAGTAATTATTTTCACTTCCTTTACAGTACCATATTGGGCAAAGAAACTTCGAATTTCCATTTCATCCATCTAAGGAAGAAAAATTAAGGAACAAACTATTAGCAGCTACCGCAAGTCAAATCCCTTACAGCTTTGTGCCCAACTGCTTGAAGTCAGTTTACGTTCATAGAAACTAGAGGTGTACCATACATTGGTCCAATATCGGATCGGCACCGATATAAAGCAAGTTGTCTATATCAGAAGTCATCCTGACGTGGCTGATAATTTGGTCGATAAGTGGCTAGTGCATGCGTGCAGCTGCAGCACAGCACGTAGGTAGTGAGAAGCACCGCCAGCAGCTTGGAGAGCTGTGTGCATCTGGTAAGTCTGGTGTGGTAGAAGGGGAGGGAGGAGAGTGAGAGGTGCAGGGGGGCAGATCAAGGTTCCCACTGTGAGGAGGAAGTGAAGGGGTGTGGGACAGAGCTGTGGCTCATCCAGGGGACATGGGGAAGGGGCTGCTTCCACACCACTCATCTGATGGCCTATCTGCTCACCCGGTCGCTTCTGCTGCTTCTTTTGCCACCTCGCCTGGGATGGCAGGGGGGGTGGAACATGCCCCTGGATTTGCACAGAGTGGGCAGCAGTAGCACTGGGAAAGGGGCCATGGGGTGGATATGGCAATTTTGGGGATATCTGCAGCAATCCCTACCCCATAACACCCTCCTAGTACTACCACCCCAGATCTGGGGGACACACCTCCACCCCATGCCCTCCCATGATGCATGCAGCAGCAGGAGCTGCCCCTTGCCCCACCTGTACCCCCAGATGAATCATGGCTTTGTTCCATGCCCTGCCCCACCCAGCTGGGCAGGGCCTACCCCAGCCCCACTCCTACTCCCTCCCTCGCTGCAGAGGCCTTGAGTAGGGCCTCCCTCGCTGCAGGGGCTATTAAATCCCCTCTCAGTCTTCTCATCTCTAAACTAAATAAGCCCAGTTTCCTCAGCCTCTCTTCAAGAGTCATGTCCCCCAGCCCCCTAACCCTTTTCATTGCCCTCTGGTGGACTCTTCAATTTGCCTACATCCTTTGTGGGGGGTGGGGGGGGACAGGACAGGACAATAATTTCATAGACATTCGGGCTGGAAGGGACCCCGGAGGATCACTGAGTCCAGCCCGTAGTATTATATAATCTAGTCAGCACATAATATACAAGATATACACATACCCTTATATCTATTCCACCAACAAATACTGTATTCGGCATGATTTTTCCTTCTGGTAAAACATATCCTTGACTGGCTGTTGACACCTGGGTGTTATCTTCCCTTGCACATTGGGTTTCTGGATTTGCAGTAGACTACATTTGATAAAAATACACATTT